CAATAAACACACGGTCTTGGTTGCACCTCTCTGTCCCTTGCATGAAAGCTTCGAGCCCTAGGATCTTTTGGTTTTCTCTCAGTTTTGTCTTCATGTCTTGGTGGGTTCCGTTCTGTCCACTGTCGCAATGATTCGATAAGATTGGGGAATTTCCAGCTTTGCCAGTGATCATCTGTACGCACCAAATCTCCACGTATACTTTCCAGCTTATCCAATGTCATGCGCACATACCCATTCACTTCTCCGATTCGACCCAAAGTCTCCAATGCTTGTACATTTGCTAGTAATTTTTCATAGAATATAGAAATCTTGTTTGGATTTGTTCCATGAACTGGTTCAAGTGCCATAATGTTGCTGATATATGCATTAACAATTTCGCTTTCTTTACCGTACTTAGTTTTCAGAATATTCTTTGCTCTCTCGAAACCCTCTGTGGTCAGCGGTAATCCATCAACTAATGCTCGTACCTTAGGTTCTAATAGTTCCTTCAAGTATGAAAATTTTGTAACATTTGAAATGTCAGTTGCACCAATTCCTGCTTCATATTGTTCCCAAAATCTTGTCCAGTCTGTGTAGTTACCGTTGAATTTGGAAATCACCAGCTTAGGTAACTTGGTTGTATTTGGTCGATTTGGGTTTGAGACACTTCGACTCTCTTCTAGTTTCTTTTCATATCTCATTCGCTGTTCTAGCTTAGCTTTTTCAAGTTTTAGTTCATCTTCGAACTTCCTTTGTCGAGATTGCGCTGCCATTTCTTCCTCTTTAAGTTTCTCAGCTTCGATCGCCTTTTGACCGATCCGTTTTAAGGAATTGTCGAGGTCAGCAATTTGTGCTTCGATGGCGAATAATTTATCTTCCAACGCTGCATTCCATGTCTGTATATCTTCGATATTTTCGCCTTTTTCGATTTTTAACTCTTGAATTTTAACTTTAATATCATGAACTTCGACTACCTTCGTTGTTAAGGTCTTAATCTGTCGCTCCATAGCTAAAACATTGTTTGTTTCGACTGATTTCTCTGCTGGTTCTTGCGTGAACTTGATGAGCCTGAGTTTCGTCTCGATATTCTTGCTCAAATTTTCGATTGATTCCATGATTTGTGAGCTGATTTCTGCCCACCCGGGGGACGCCACTTATGTTGGAAACGGGTCTTCACAACACAATCACAAAATTAATAAAATATATAATAAAACAAAAATAAATTTACAAATATAATCTGATATGTAGTTCACGCTTCGCTAGTGTTTTCCGATCAACAACGTGTTCGTTACATTCGTCCCCGGAATTACATCACCCCGGGCAAAGTTCCCAGAGGACTAATTTCCGACATTGCGCAATTTACTTCACAGCAGTCGACACACTCTTATTTCTTGAAGTGTGTGTTCGTGTCTCTGCCCCCTCCCGTGTCAACGGTGACTTCTCACCTTCTTCCTTCGGTACAACTTCATGCAACAAGTTGTGATGGCTTCTTTTGCACCCTTGCACTGCGCATGGCTTTGACCTGGTGCAGTCCTTACCGACATGATTACTTGCAAGACATCGAAAACATAAATGTTTTTCCTTTGCGACTCCCCAACGATCTGGCACACTCAAGCCAGAAAATACCTTACAGGACCAAACCCCATGATTGCCTCCACATACTGCCCAAGGTGGCTTTGAATACGGGCTGCGTGTATCGTCGTTGCTGTGTTTTCCATCTCGATTAGTGAACCAGGTTCGAGGTCGATAACTTCTTTCAGTTGGCTTGGACCTTCCTCTGTCATACTCTCTAGTCTGCTTAGGTTCAACTCCTTGGGCCATTTCTGTAGCCTCAACTCGGATGATTACTTCTTCCTTTAGCCAGTCTCTCAAGGCTTTCACTGACCGTATCTTATGTTGTTCACTAAGCCATCGACTGTAATTTTCCACTTGTCGTTCCGATTTACCAGCAGGCTATGCAATGCACCATCTCCCATTTCCCCACTGCGCCCCTCAGCTTCCAACTTCACTACGGTTACCCACACAAGATCAGCAAACTTTTCGAAAGACTGAATGTCATTGTTCTTCAGAGTTGGCATATTTTCTAACTGATCGAGGTAAGCTTGCAACTGATGACATTGTCCACCAAACTTAGATTTTAATATGTCCTTAGCCTCATCATACTCTGGCGCCGTAACACCCAGTCCACGAATTGCGTCAAGGGCATTTCCTGAAAGACTTTGACATAGTCGAGCCATTTTAATATTTACAGGCTCACTCCCTTCATCAACTAGGCTGATGAATAATGCCCAAAAATCCTCAAATCTAGTTTTATCACCATAATAGACTGGAACTGTTAGTGGTTTAAGACGATGATGGGTTATACCAGTGAAATTGCTTGCAAAACTCGGAGGGCTTGCTTGGGTTGTTGTAGGATCCGGACTAACATTAGCTGTGATTGTACTGGTAGTGGGATTGCTTGCTGAACTCGGTGGGCCTTCTGTGTCCACAACCGGTGCTGGACTATCATTGACTGTGGTTGTTCCAGTTGGATTGCTTTCAGAACTAGGTGGGCTTGCTTCAACTGTGGGCGCCGGGCTTACATTGACTACTTCGGATACATGTCCTTGTTCAGAAATACTTGATAAGTGTCATAAGTATTCTTTGATTACTTGTTGTGCTTTCTCCACAGTCTGGTGTCCATCTGATTCAAAGTTTTCCTGCTCTTTTAGAATAGCTTCCTTAGCTTCAGTTTGGTTGGATTTGATATAAGTTGAACACAATTCATCCATCACAGATAAGCCTGTTTCCAATGCATCCCACAAAGCCTCAATTTCAGCTTCGATTTCACCACGATTTAATTTACTCTTCTGAGCACACAATTTTTCTAAGTTATGCCTAATTTTTGTTACATTTGTTTTTCTTGCTCGTTTTTCTCGCTTTAATGCAAGCACTGTTTCTTTCAGTTCAAGATCATTCTTGGATACACTTGGTTCATCTGTCTCATTAGTTAACAGCATTATGTCCCTTAGCAAATATGCTTTGTTTACTGTTTTTGCTTTATTTTTGTTCCAAAGTTATATTTAAGAAATTAATAACTTCACCATAAAGTTCCACAAATATATCAACAAATCAGAATCAATAACTTTAGTTTGTACTTACTGTTACAATACGTTAGTTAAATTACTGTTTATCCCCTGCTTTCCTGGCTATCCCCAACCATCAAGTACGTGGCACAGAATATTTAATACTTTGCTATAATTCGATGTAAATGGGCTATTCCATTTAATATCCGTACCCCCCTGTCGAGGATCCCTGGAATTCTTCAGGGGTAAAGGGTTTTGAGCTTGGAATTCTTCAGGGGTAAAGTGTTTTGAGCTTGGAATTCTTCAGGGGTAAAGTGTTTTGAGTTTGGAATTCTTCAGGGGTAAAGGGTTTTGAGCTTGGAATTCTTCAGGGGGGAAGGGTTTTGAGCTTGGAATTCTTCAGGGGTAAAGAGGTTTGACTTTGAAATTTTTCAGAGCTTGGAATTCTTCAGGGCTGAAGGGTTTTCAGCTTGGAATTCTTCAAGGGTAAAAGGTTTTGAGCTTGGAATTCTTCAGGGGTAAAGGATTTTGAGCTTGGAATTCTTCAGGGGTAAAGGGTTTTGAGCTTGGAATTCTTCAGGGGTAAAGGGTTTTGAGTTTGGAATTCTTCAGGGGTAAAGAGGTTTGACTTTGAAATTTTTCAGAGCTTGGAATTCTTCAGGGGTAAAGGGTTTTCAGCTCGGAATTCTTCAGGGGTAAAAGGTTTTGAGCTTGGAATTTTTCAGGGGTAAAGGGTTTTGAGCTTGGAATTCTTTAGGGGTAAAGGGTTTTGAGCTTGGAATTCTTCAGGGGTAAAAGGTTTTGAGCTTGGAATTCTTCAGGGGTAAAGGGTTTTGAGCTTGGAATTTTGGAATTCTTCAGGGGTAAAAGGTTTTGAGCTTGGAATTCTTCAGGGGTAAAGGATTTTGAGCTTGGAATTTTGGAATTCTTCAGGGGTAAAAGTTTTGAGCTTGGAATTCTTCAGGGGTATAACCATGAAAACCATGTATCCTCGACAGGGGGTGCACGGATATTAAATGGAATAGCCCAATATATCGTAGAAACACCCAATAAAGTTTAAAACAAAGCCGAGTTTACCACAAATTTATAAAACGTCCCCGAATATTGTTCCAATACCGATACAACTACGAATAAACGCTGTAAATACGCCAACAGTCCTCGAGCACGATGTTGTGAAATTTTCCCCGATTTTAACCACGAAATTCACTTTAAAAACCCCAAATTCCTCGAATTGTCCTGGCAGGATCGCTAAATGTTACGATGTAACGATATTTAGCCTCGAAAAGTACTCGATTTAGTACAAAAACAGTGAAAATAAACTTTAATATGAAATTCCTACACGAGTTTTATACTGTTTACTAATAGCGTTCTTGTCTACCGTACACTGATCTCAATAGTCCACTGATTGTCTGCGCGCGTGTGTCCCGCGTTTTGCGTGTAAGAGTCATATCTTTCATTCGATTTCAGCAAAGCGTTTGACACTGTCCCACATGATATTATTTTGATCATTCAGAACCAATTTTTAATTCCTTACAAATACTCAATTTACATAAAATAAATTATTATTTAACGAGTATATTCATGTTCCGGTATTTTCATCTACAGAATCTACCAGAATTATTCATAAACTATTTTTTGACAAATAAGCAAATTCATAATCATAACACAAGAAATTCTTCGTTGCTACACAAAAGGAGTAATAGAACAAACTATACCAAACATACCCTTGCCAATAAAGGCATAGATGTGTGGAATAATCTTCCCACAAAAAATGAAGAACCTAGGTCTTATGTTTCCTTCAAATCAATAATTAAAAAGTACTTTTTACAACTAGATTTAACAATATAACATGTTTCTGTAAATATAATTATATATATTCATATGTATTATATAATTCTTCTTTTCCTTACTAATTCTCTGAAAAACACTCGAACTGACACGAGCTTATATTTATTGATATAGCTTAAATAATTAACCTAGGGACCAAAAAAAAAAAGCCATGTGGTTTCTAGTAGGCTCCTAGCCCATTTCTTATATATATATCTATTCCTTGTAAATGTAGTATTTTGGGCGAAAAATATTAAAAAAAAAAAAATGATATAGTCTGTAATAAATTGAAGTCACTCGACATTAATCCATATATCGCCAACTGGGTAATTAATTTTCTTGGAAACAGAAAGCAAAGGGTCGTCGTCGATGGAGTTTATAAGCATCAATAGAAGACTTCTATTGATGCTTATAAACTCCATCGACGACGACCCTTTGCTTTCTGTTTCCAAGAAAATATTAGAAGAGTACCCCAGAGATCAGTGCTTGGGCCTATACTATTGGCTCTTATGATAAACGATTTATGTCCAGTACACCCAGAAAGCCCTTATTAATCAAGTTGCGGATGACACCAATTTAAGTGTTCCTGTAAAAGCAAACTGTAACACTTCTTCCACCGAAGTAAACAACATAGAACGTTGGGCGCCGAACAATCCTATGACATTGAATATGACAAAAACAAAGGAAATGGTTGTACAAGGTAGGACAAGCAGACCAGTACCACCTTTACTACCAACAATTGCACGGAATTCCCATTTAAAGCTTCTTGGCCTAACATTTCAAGAAAATGATATATTAAAAATTAGAGAGGGAAACAGAAAATTGTGGAACGTAATCTTGGAAGACACAACGCATAGTTTACATGAACTATTACTCCCTAAGAGAGCTAGAGCTCTTAGAAAGCGAGGACATAGCTTTATTCTACCACAAATTTGGACAGAGAGATACAAAAGATCATGTGTAAATAGCTGCTTATTCCAGTTTATATAGAACTGTAATTGTATTGAACTTTTTATCTATAGTTACACTAGTTATATATGTTTTATATAGAGTTCACATTATTTGTAAAGTTACACGTCTGATGACAGACTGATGTAACTATTCTCTTTTAATAAAGACTTTACATACATACATACATACATACATACATGCATACATACATACATACATACACCCATACATATAGGGCCGCTGTAATTGGCAATACCTGTAGCGTGCACATTTGTTTATAAATTGTTTATAACTATATGTCTTGTGCAAGTGAACAAATTTATCATATCATTTTCTGGACAAATAAATAAGCCCCACCTCTTTTTTGAGTATCCCTTCTCCAATTTACCACATCCCCTCCACGCCGCCAAAGGTGCCTCGAAGGATTAAAAGAGGGATTATTGTATATCCAGACGGGAGACTAAATAAAATAATGCTGTTATTCTGCCAAAGTCGGAAGCACCTACTTCATGATGGAAGATGGGCTTAATCGAGAGGGAGGGCGTTTAATAGTCTCAGTAGAGAGGGAGGGCTTAAGAAATTTATTAATCTGAAGCGGGGCTTACTAGGGAGGGGCGCCTATTTGCATGACAGGGGGACGGGGCTTAATTAATAGAGACATTACGGTATAGCTAAGTGTAATCACCCTATTTCAGAGAGGGAAATTGAAAATAATTATGCACCCATTTTCAAAACGCATTTATAGCGCATGGCGGCATGAGTGTCATCATTGATCCACATCACTCTATCGCAGCTTATCACTGCCTCCCCCATGGCCCCACAAGCCCTGCTGCACCATTGTCACCATTGGAAGGTCACACGAGGGCCTGAACCAGAAAAACCACGAATTAAAGAAGAGCCTAGGATCGATGTCGAAACCTTCCCAGATTTTGTTGGGAAACACTTGTGACCGTACAATTGGGATTAGGTTCGTTCACTAAAGTTAGTTATAAAAGTTAGATTTTCAAAAAAAAAGTTTAAAAAAGTCGGGTTAGTGTTAGGGGTTAGGTGGAGCTCATGCTGCTCCAATCTCCATCAACACCCTCTTCTTTGCTAAATCCAGCACAAACTCTGCTATTTTTTATTGAAGATTTAATTTCTCAAAGACAATATATTGTATTATATTTATACTTTGTAAAACTGTTAGTCTACTTCAGTATTCTATAAGGCGGCAGTGATTACCTTGGTCGAATACTCGAATGCAGTGCTCTCACAATCAAATTTTCGAATTCCTTAGAAAAAGCTCGAAAATTCCTCAGATTTCCTTAAAATTCCTTAAATTGGTAAAATTACTACAAGGCCTGATCACAGAGTTGCAAAAAGTGTTTTTTTCATCTGATTTACCTGAATTTTTCGAACTGAAGGTTCTTTAAAACCGTATTTTTTGAAAATTTGAAGTTTCTAGACCGTCGGAAATGGCATTTTTAGAGTCTTCATACCCAATATTTTAGTATTGCCTAACAATGAAGATAAGTATTGCTACTTTCAGTTTATAATGGGAAATTGAGAAAATTTTGGAAATTTGGAGTCTCCAGATCGTCAGAAAGGGTATTTCGCAATTGTCTCCCTGCCACAACACGTCTCAACGTCTTTAGTTTGTTTGATTGTTAACTCCAATTCAGATTAGAGAGTTCACTTTTTTATGCCATGAGAATTACCTGAATTTACCTGAAAATCTACAGGATATCTACCTGAAATTGTTCATGAGCAATATTAGGGGTGTTGCACCCTCCCTCCCCCCGTCGCTAGGGCCCTGAGAACTTAGAAAATCTGTAGATTTCTGAAGAAACAGCATACACTGACATTTAACTTTTGAGAATTTTAATGGAAAGACAGCCATATGTACATTTTAATACGACATAGAGAACATACGAATATATGTAATTATGTGCACATAGTGTTGCTACTTTCAGGTTTAAATCTCATTTGCGTAAATTGCGTGGCGTGGTTATTCTCCGTCAAACGTTTTAGTTCAGGATAAAATGTTTTGGAAATTCTTTAAAAAAATCCTCAAAAACCTAAATTCCTTAAAAAAATCCTTAAAACTCTTCCAAATTCCTATTTTTAAGGATAATTCCTTAAAAGTGAGAGCACTGCTCGAATGACTATTTTCGATTGTGAATCTTTTGACATGACGTCATTTTAGCACGTGCGCAATGTTACCCGGTATATGTTAGTCAGCAGATATAAAACACTGAGCTATAATATTACTGGAGGAGGTGCTCCTATCTCTCGTCAGTCAAAAAAGTGTCCGCGAAAACATGGCGGATTTTCACGTTTGCTGACGCCATATGGTTCCTCCGGCTCATGGCAATTACCACTGACCAACCGCGATCCTAAGCATCCGACAAAGACCTTCGCTCCCCTGTTTTTGCACAAATATTTTATGTTTTCAAGACAAAATCATGCCGTTTTTCTCCACTTGTGGATGCAAAAATTCGCTGTAAAGACTTTAAAAGGAAGAATATTTCTTCTGAAAGGTAAGATTTGTGAAAATTTTAAGTTTTTACCTTTTATTCGACAAATTTTCGATTGGCAAAGTCAGGGGCCGATATGCGTATAAAATCGAGGTATAAATATGTATTTGTCAAACACTTATATTTTATATTTACACCAATATTTCTGGAGAGGCATAAAAAACGTTGTACATGGTTATTTATACATTGTGTACATACATTTTCTTTCTAGTTTCAGGCACTGGCTTTTGTTTTTAGTGCCAGTTTATTAGTTTAAAGTCTTTAAACAGCATGCTGCTCATGCAATCTGTAGTTTGCTTTGTTTCATAAAGAGCAGTTAGCACTAGATTTATATACAGTATAAACAAGCTGTATTGTATCCTTCACAAATATTATAAACTGCTAGTCTTACTACTTGCTAGGTTTTGTATCAGCATTTACCAATTGGCTGTGTAATTTAGGCTTTTTTTGTGGGGTTGTGCACTACATTTCAGTTCAGCATCGAGCTATCATCGACTTGTGCATACCCAAATTTGTATGATTTATACTTATATCATTCTTGCATTGGCATTACCTTGAATGCTAGTATGGGTCAACCTGACAACCTCTATGCCTCATAAAAATCTCCAAACAAAAAACCTCCTTCACTCAGAAAATACCTCTGTCATGGGAGTCTTGATTTATGTTTAGCCATATTTATTTAGGTCCCTTAGAGGTTAACCCATTGAGTCACATTGCACCCTACTTTATTATTTTAC